AGAGGCTGCAACTGTTGTCAATACTGTCTAAACCCCAAGTCCCGCCATCAAGTGTCATGAAATCCTTATCATTCTATCCCCTGCTTGTCTTGTTTCTGTCCAAAACCTCAGTCCTAAACCCTAAACCCTAAAGAAAGGGTCTAGCCCCTTAAACAACCCCTCTGTCCCGCATCATGCCCTAAACCCCCACATTTTCTGATCATGCATATAAAACAGTTCCCTTTTCCTACAACCCCCTTGATATCTATCAATCACCCTCCACCCTATTTCCTTTGGTGTCGTCCAGCTCTAGCTCCATCCATCTTGGGCAGTTACGTTCTGCCAAAGACCGCTGTTTTAAAATGTTTTCACCGGCCAAAACCCTTAGACCCTAACGCCCCTAAGCTGTTACCCGATGGTTAAGACCCTAAAACCCTAAACCCTCCGTCATTCTTTATCGTGATAACCCTTCTCTGTTGTGCCTCTTCACGACGGACCTAGGTCCCTTCCTCCCAACACCAATCTTAATCTTCCTTACCTCTCCTCTTGGCTCTCGTTCTTGTTGCCTGGTATCCCTTACTCCCTTCAACTCGGTTGCCTGTCTGTTGTAGGCCCAGTCTGGGTTCTCCTGTCTTTCTCTGAATTGTGCGAATCTTTCCAGTAAATCCGGTCATTCCATAGCTCAGCCACCTTACCGTCCACTAACCACAGCTTCGTGAACTTTCTCCTAGTCTTTTCTCGCAAATCCTTGTCTTCAGGCATCAACTGCTTTAACTTTTGTCATCTGCAGAGGATTTCCGCCAGTAGCATGGTCTCGTCTCCATCCATAACCTTCTCTCTTGGGTTGGACAGCCCTTCGATGGATCTGCAGCATCTCTCTTTCCAAATGATCCATAACGTCACCTTCCTGATCAGGCCGAACCATAATCTTTATGTCTTCTTGAGCTGGTCAGGAATGTTAGTCCAGAGAAGGATTTGGATGGGGTGTTCGGGGAAGGGGAGATGGAAAAGGGAGTCCCAGAGGGCTAAGGCCCGTGTCCAGTAGTTTGTCGCCTCACGACATTGGATTAGGCAGTGTACCACATCTTCTTGTGCCCCTTCTGCGCAAACGGAGCATGGGTCCGAGCTGGTGGGATCAGTTTTGTGACGTCGTGTATGCAGCCATTGGTTCACTGGCAGCGCAGCGTATCTGATAAGCCATTGAAGGCTTCTGAATTTTTTATTTTTTTTTATTACCTTCCTTTAGGACATTATGCTGTTCTTCCCATCCTGTGGGAGTTAGAGACCGCCGTGTGGTGGAAGTGTTTGAGTGGGGGATTGAGGTTGGTAAGTAATTGTTGGAGGGTACCGTGAAGAAGCTTTAGGGTAGGGTGGGCAGGGCTCTGGGTGCTGGGTCAGATCCGCTGATTCGTGTTGGGGACTTCTTGCATGACCAAGGAAAGGAGGGAGCAGTGGGATGCCCGTTGAGGTTGTGGCTAAGTCCCTTTTTCAGTGGCAGAAGGGAACGAGTCTTTTTTATTGGTGCTCTTTCCAGGAACCTTTTATGTCCCAGTTTTCGAGGAGGGTAATGTTTTTGCCCGTTTTCGCTATCCTGATCTTATTGAGACTGTTTTGCTTCAAACCTTTTGTCTTCTTTCTTTTTCTACTCCTCTAGGTCCATCAGTATGCTTTGCTCATTTTCTGCTGTTTGATTTTCATCATTCTGCTTCCACCAGTTTGTGAAGTGTAATGCCCTATCAATAACTCTTGCAATTAGCCCGTTCCTTGACCATCTCTCCTCAAATTCCTTCTGGATTTTGTTTTTCTTGTTGTCTATGTCCTCTTTGTCCATCTAGTCAAGGTTTTCTTCCATTCTATTCTTAGTTTTGCTTCTATCAATTCTCTAGCCTCTTCCCATGATCCGTTTCCCGATATCCTCTTCTTCCCTATAGTTTCCAAACATCGTGCTCTCCAAATGATCCATATTGTAGTTTTTTTGAACAGTTCTAGTATCTGATCATTCTCTTAGTAGGAAGAATTTATCCTTTGGGAATTTCGTTCCTATTGTACGTGTCCAAGTTGACGAACACCTGTTCCATAATGTTTGCGCGTGTGGGCACTCTATTAAGCAGTGTGTGAGGGTTTCCGGTTGG